ATTTATAATAGTAGGTTGCCGATTTTTTCATGGAACCGTCGATTCATAATAGTACGCTTGCCGATTTTTTCACGGAACCATCGAGTCCAATGATTCTTCACCAATTCCAACCGATTCTTTATTAAGTCAAGTGAAAAAATTGGATGAACAAATTTTTCTTGAATTATTTTTTAAAAAATTTTGAGACAAAAATTACTAATTCCATTTATTTTTCTGATCTGATCCACCGATTCCCCCGATCTTGTTGAAATCGTTTAAGTGTATTTTCTAGAAAATATATTAGTTTTTATGTTATTTTATTAAGAGTGATGTAGTGAAGTTGTACTTGTAAGTTAGTGTAGTAGGAAGTTATGAAACCGCTAGGAGATTAGTAGTTATTATTGTAAGTTAGTAGTTATTGTTGCAAGTGGGTTGTTATTGTAGGAAATATGGTTGTAAAAAGAGAGGTATGTGGTGAGAAAATTGGGACACATGTTTAAGGTTAATCTTGGGTTTCAAGATTGTAATGCCTTTGTGTACCCCGGTGTCATATGTTTTATGGTTAATCTTGGGTGTCAAGATTGTAATGCTTTTATGTACCCCATGTTTCATCTTTGAATGAGTGTTTTTCTTCTACTTCATCTTGATTGTTCGTGTTCTTTCTATTTGGTTGTGAGTCTTGGGCTAGTGTGACATTGTTACATTAATTGAGAAGATGATTGTTCTGGTGTTGTAGCATCTGTCTTTCTCTATAGATCCAACACAGCTATGGGTATGACCGATTGGAGTCACTGATCTGTTTTTTTTAAATACTAGTTAAAATCAAGTAGATCTATAAACATATGAAAGTCTAAAAAATGGACTGTCTAGATAATGTGTTGCAAGATGCATTGTTTCTGAGACTTTTTTTTTCGTTTTTTCTTTTTTCATATTTATGCATCTCGATGTCGAGATGATCGATTAGAGGGTTTTTCAACATAAAAAGCATCATTTTTCGATGGATTTTCAAGGTGCATGTTTAATTCTACATTTTAAGGTTGCAACCTTATATAAACTTTTTCCAACATATTGTATACTAAAATATCATTTGCCTATTTTACAAGGTCACAATTACCCCTATCCATCGAAGGTGAAATCCGATGGCTTACGGTGTGTCACAAAGCTCAATAAATTTTCTTTCAGACTTTTGAGTTTGTCGATAACATACCTTCAGGCACTAGATTTTATATCTAAGGGCTAGACGTAGTTGTGACCTCCTTGCGTCAAAAAATATACAGTCTTCTTATATACTTTCCCAAAAGGAAAACAACAATTGGATTTTAAATTGCTATACAACACTTGGCTTTAACAGTCAAAATTTTTTATGGTCTCTATTAAATCTTAGGACATTTGTTTTTCACATGGATCTTGTTTTTTGGTTTTGCAAGGTTAGTTTTTAGGCTAAGAAGGTTGCATCCCGAAATTTAGAGTCCTAAAAATACTCCTAAATAGAGTTTTCAATGGAGGGAGTATATGATCTTTTGGTGTAGAGAAGTAAAGTTTTTGGTGACTGAGCACTACAGCAAGGACCAAAAAATGTATTGCTCCATCAGATATGTATGGTCTCTTTCACAGTGATAGGATTCAAACTTGGATACAATATCGTAAATATGAACAATAATTGGTCAAAACTGGCTAACTTCATTGTCGTAAGAAAAATTAAAAAACTTTTAAAAAAATTTGAGGAGAAAGGGTAAAGTTTTAAACAAAGAAGGGTGATAAAGGCAACATGATATTAACATATCGGATTTTGAAATGGGATTGAATACTATAAGACTATTTATCATTTTATAAGGTCACAATTGTTCTTAACTGTTATCGTATCCTTCTTTAAATGTTAAGTAGAGCATGATGTCAAATTAGATGGGCACATCACCAAGTTCAAGATTTTTTTTTTTTTTGAATTTTGTGTTTACTCAATTACACTCTTACAACCACTTAATTTAAAATCTATCTGACACGTGATTGTGAATTTCTTGTGCCAAAAGTAAATAGTCTCTCTATATACTTTCATTTTAAAATTCGATAGAGAACCTGTGTTATCTCCTATAATTATCCCCTTCCTTGAATATTGACTAGAGCATGATGTCAAATTAGATGGCTTGAGACAAATCACCAAGTTCAAGATTTTTGTTTTTTTTTTTTTTGAATTTTAAGTTTACTCAATAACCACTCTTACCCGCTCAATTTAAAATCTCATAGACATAAGTGATTGTGACTTTCTTATACCAAAATAAATGGTCACTTTATATATTTTTTCTTTTAAAATCCGATAGAGAATGTGTGTTGTCTGCTATAATTATCCACTTCCTTTATATACGTTTCTTTTAAAATTCGATAGAGACCGCATGCTATCTCCTATAATTATCCACTTCCTTGAATGTTGAGTAGAGCATGATGTCAAATTAGATGGCTTGAGGCTAATTACCACGTTCAAAATTTATTTTGAATTTTGAATTTACTCAATAACCACTCTTACAACCGCTTAATTTAAAATCCGACTTACACAAGTAATTGTGACTTTTTTGTACCAAAAGTAAATGGTCTCTTTATGTACTTTTCTTTTAAAATTCGATAGAGACTGAATGTTATCTCCTATAATTATCCACTTCCCTCAATGTTGACTAGAGCATGATGTCAAATTAGATAGCTTGGGACACAGCACCAAGTTCAAAAACTTTTTCTTGTTTTTTTGAATTTTGAGTTTACTCAATAACCACTCTTACAACCACTCAATTTAAAATCTGACATACAAATAATTGTGATTTTTTTGTACCAAAAGTAAACGGCCTCTTTCTTTTTAAAATTCGCTAGAGACTGCGTGTTCTCTCCTATAATTATCCATTATGTTTAAAAGAAAACCCGGTATATCGCTACAAATCCCTAAATAATAGATACTTTTTGAATTGAAAGAAAAATGTGATAAATATAAATTAAATAAAGACATCACACCCATTATATTTTACAATATTGCTCATAAAACGGTTGTTTAGTGGAGCGAGAAGGGGAGAAAAAACCATATTTGTCATACCCATTGTGCGTGGCCCCTACCCAATATGGTCGGTCCAAACAGATTTTCAAACCGTGTGCTCCTTTTTCTCCTCATAGGGCATAGGTAGGGCGTGAATCAGGAGACCAAAGCCCATCCATGGTCATGTGGCAAGCATGGGCAGTCAAGATGAGAGGACTAAAGCATGGCCCATGTAATTGTATGATGTCTGGACCAATGTTGGTAGTTTCATTTCAGAGTCTTTTTCGATTCGGTGAGAAAAATGAAACTTCGGACGATTCGAAAAAAGAGTTGGATTTTTTAAAAAATTTAATATAAATAAATTAGATATTTATATAAAATATATATAAATAATGAAACAATTTTAAAACTTTCAAAAATATAGATATTTATTTGCTTAGGCCGAAGACACTGAAGCCTTTGGCAAAAATCGGTCCGAGGCAAACTTAAATCTAGCCCAAATCTGACTGAATCAGCAGCACCAAGCTTTGCTACGCTTACATCTAGGCCTAAAATCTGAAGGCTTCTGCCAAAGCAAAGTTGACAACATTGGTCTGGACCCTCCCCACCGCATACAGTTTTTGTCTCTCCATTAAGGCGCTTGACCACCTGATCATGCTCATGTTGTGGCTTCAAGGGCCTGGTCCACCCCTGCACCCCCACACTCTAAACAGCCAGCATTCAACTGATACTCTTTAACCTTACACCATAATCAGAGGACTTGAATACCTTTCCCCAACGAATGGCCCATCTGCAAAGGGAAAGAGGAAAACATCAACCATCGATTCATTCGCAGCTAAACAGCCACGCAACTATAGTCTTGCATCCTTCGGATGCTTGAATTTTATGTATTTTATGTTGGGTCAATACCCGGATCTGACCCGATAGGGTCCATGCCGGCCCCCGACATGGGACGGGTCCACATCATTTGGACCTGAACCGAACCCACCAGGTCCAATTGTCCAAAACATGGACCCAGACCCAGTTTGTGTCGAAACGCTGGGTTGGCAGGTCGACCCGACCAGGTTGCCATCCCTGCCCTTTCATGGCTTCAGCCCTCTGCTAGGGCATGCACCTTTATTAGCACACTTTTGGACTATTTGGCTGGATAGACACGAGGATTTTTGGAAGCAAGGAAAGTTGTGCAAACTCCATGAAAGAACCCTGCAAATCTACCACTAAACTTTTGGGCTCAAAGCATGTAGCTCCTACCCCACAGCCTTTCTCGCTCATCAGGGGATCCTCATTAGGTCTCATTATGGTTCTCACCTGATACCCATTATGTCATCATTATGGTTCGCACCAATCTAAGTTAAATTTTGATGGCAACTCTAAAAGACCCCATTTCGTCGACATTATGGTTAGCACCTATCTAAGTTAAATTTTGATGGCAACTCTATAAAAAACCAGGACACTAAGAGGTATTTTCAGGAACAATCTTAGTGAATCACTCATGACCTTCTCAACCCCAGCCGGAGTTGCAGACACTACCTTTGCCAAGGCCCACTCCCTGTTGACTGATCTCAAAGTGTTTGTCAAATTTTGACGTAACTCTGGTATCTGCAGTTCGCTACATATCACTTTCAAGAAATCATGAAGAGAATCTAATAACCACACGACTCCCTTGCCAAAGAAAGGGGCAGCAAAACCTAACTATTCATTTAAGGGAATATATCTCCATACCTCTTATTTTTATGTTTGATTTCTTATTTTTAAGTTTTATTTCACAATAGACCCAAAAAATTGTAAATTTTGTTTCTTCTAACCACCTTAGCTACTTTGAATTTGTTTTTTAAGGCCAAACAAATCTAAAAAAACTTGCCTTTTCTAAGAGCTATCCTCCCAAACTTCTCTATCTCCTTATACCTTTTCTCTCTCTCCATCTTTCCCATCTCTAACCCCTCACTCTCTCTCTCTTCACGTTTTCCATCTTTCTTCCCTCTTTCTCCTCCCAAATACATAATAAATATACAGAGAGAAAAAGAGTATGTTGTTTAATCCACTGGAAGAGAGAGAGGTGTTTGGATAAACATGGGAAAAGAGATGTGTTTTGATAAACACGGGAGGAGAGAGAGCGAAAGATGCAGCAAGAGAAAGAAAGAGAAGTTTGAGGGATATAAATGAAGAGAGAAGGGATTGAGTTTAAAAAGAGCATGTATTTCTCACATTTGTTCAGGTTAAAAAATAGGTTTAAAGTGGCTAGAAGTTGGAAGATATTTTTTAAAACTTTGGGTTTATTAAAAAATGAAATTTAAAAATAGAGGATATGGAGATATTTTTCCTTGATTTAAACAACTACCCCCGTAGGAGGAAACTTGCTAACAATTTTGTAGAGACCCACACCCACGTACTCTAATTTTATTAACAGTTAGTATATTATGGCACGACCACAAAGCTGTAGAAATTTGCACGTGTACTAATACAAATTGTTAAATTATCAAAAAAAGAAAATAATGACTGCATAGATTTAGGTCCAAACCCGACCACACAAACTTCCTCCATAGCATTAAGCTGACCAAAGTAGCAAGCAGAGACCACATAACCATGCACTAAAACATGAAGCCCAACATAACCAAATTGTTTAACATTAATATCAAGGATATGCAATCTAACATTTGTCTATAATTGTGCCTTTGGAATGAAAGAATGAGAAGTGTCATTGTTTCAGAAATACCTTAGGCACTGTTTGATAAAACAAAATTTAAATATTCTAATTTTTTAAAATATGAATAAAAGATATTGCCCACTTTATATATCTGAATGATATATTATCTTGATGTATGTTTGATCGTAATTTCTTAGATATAAATTATTAGACTCCTTAGAAGACAAGAGAAACCCAAAGCTAACCGCAACCCCCAATCCAACATATTCTACATGTACTGTCATCCAGGTGGGAGTTTGTGGAAACACAAAGCTAATTGCAACACCTAGCCTTGCTGTGACTTTAGATTCCAGCCACTTTTCACCCCTTACCATCTTAACCCAGAAGCTTATAAGCCCGTAGTTCCATATGCCACGAACCTGCCGTGTATATTCTCAAGCTCCACCATATCAAATCTCCTCAAAAACCCAGCAACTCATGCCGCAACCACCCTTGCCACCTCGTTCTGGCCTGGTGTGGACTTTGAAACCCTCTTGATGCCACTAGCGTTGAAATACTCTGATCAAGTGCTCCACTCAATTGTGTGCATGTTTCTCCCACCAAATACACCACATATAGCAGCAGTTGCAGTACTTGCAGTAGCCACTCTTCTGCTTGGTGGGACTCTCGTATTGCTACTACCCCTTTCCCATCCCCATACCCATTCCAACCATACATGCTTCTTTGCACCACTACAACTTCGGTCCCTGTAACTGAGCCTTTCCATCTTACAGATGTGCTTCACCTTCTACTACAGGTTCTCAAGAGAATAAATGGCCAGGAAAAAGTTAGAAGAAGAAGAAGAACCGGAGGGTTTTGATTGAGACAGATCGATATTGGCGTTAGGGCAGATAATCCTCTCAGGTTGTTGGAGAAAACCCACTTTGGTTATAATCCGGTGATTTTCCCACGACAACCTTTGAAGCCATTGATGAGTTGCAGGAAATTATTAGAAATTAGGCTAGGATGATTTTAGAGAGCCAAGCTTTTGCTTCTCTTTCAGACACTGCTTAAACCCTATTGCGTCCAAACCATGTTTAGGAGACCCTTTGGGGGGGATTTGATGGGTGGCAATGAGAATGCTGATGGGGCTTTGGAGGAGGAGAGAAAGTGAAGATATTGCCAATATTGGAGCAGAAAGAGAGCAGAGGCAACCCCCGTTGGATGAGAGAAGGGATGAGAAGGTGGGATTTGATGGATAGCAATGAGAATGCTGATAGGGCTTTGGAGGAGGAGAGAAAGTTAAGATATTGCCAATATTGGAGCAGAAAGAGAGCAGAGGCAACCCCTGTTGGATGAGAGAAGGGATACAAGAGAGCGAGAGAGAGAGCGAGAAGAGGGGTTGTCTGGCACAGGAGAAGACCCAGGCTCTATGTGAACGACAGAGAGAGAGCCCTGTGAAGTGATAGAGAAACAAAATGCCGCCCATAAAATTTTAGTATCCCAAAATTTCAACTCAGAGCTGAATTTTGGAGACTCAAATATTAGACAGTTATTTGGATATTAAATACTATGATTTGATCTTATCAAACGTGGTCCACCAACTTTTATAATTCAAATTACTTTTGATTCTATGATATCCTGTAATATCAGGATATTAGAGGGTTACCAAACATACCCTTAAAGTCCTACTTAGATGAAGAAACACTTGCAAGTCTCACCTATAACCATGCTACCATCAACATAGACACGGAGAACCACGATGCCTAATGAGAAAGTCCCAATGGAAAAGGAACAAACCCAAGGAGCATCGTCGGAAGCAAGCCCAAGTGACATCAGAAAATTTCTCAAAACAAAGTCAAAGCACACTTATCTGGGAATGTAAAGGCTTCAAAGAGAACACAGAAATGGCAAACATTCCATCCGACAATCATGTAGATGTATTCAATATAACTAGGTCTTCCATGCACATCCTCCAACAATTCTCCATGAAGACATTGTTCGGCTCATCAATATGATACTTGAGTTGAGGTATTGCATGTTGTCTGTGAATAATGAAACACCTTACATCCATTCAAGAGATGCCATTATTAAACGACATTAGCATCATAATTCTTAATCAGGTCATCCTAGACAAACTAATACCTCATCTAACTCACTCCTAGTCCTATGAAAACTCATAAGCCGCCAATCAAACCTTATAGCTTGAGAGAGAACAATTCATGTTTGAATTTGAAGCAGTAAATCTGCATAATTTCATAAAACTTTCTACCATGCCAAATAACATATCCCCAAGTAGCTGAATTTTCTCTTAGTGGAAAAAATAAAATAAAATTGCACAAACGTTTTTCTTGCAATAGATATATTTCCATTGTTGGTATAGGAAGGTGATAAAAGAGGCAGAGTATAGCAGGTATAGTTTCTGACCTTTTGCCAATAACTTATAGGTATATCAGACATAGAAGCGGAGATATTGAAGTTCAAGAATATGGTGGTTCCTATGGACTATCATTTTGCAGTACCACATGTAGACAAGAATGATGCCGCTTATTTGCTGAACACATAATATACTATCCCCTTGCGCCTGAATGAATAATATCTACAACAGGTTGGTTTTGGGCCTAATTAATGAACCATAAATGTAAACAAGGATATCACCCAAGAGATTCTTTTTGGGATAATGCTATCACCTCAGAAAGTGGTACATAATAAAACTGAAGAAATTCAACCAACCAGATGCCATCAAGTACAGATCCTCCACGCAATATACCAATGGCACTTAATACCCTTGACAAACCTAAAAGAACTCCAACCATTGCAGCCAACCCACACTCTGACAGAGGGCATACACCCAGCACACCCATACAAAGACTCCGCTTTGATAATTAGTTTAAAGATTTTCATCCCTCTTTCCCAGTTCCCAAAACAACTAATCTCGCTCCTTATCACCGCTCTTCACCTCTTTATCCCTAGACCACCATCCTTCTTCAGAATTTTGACACAAGTACCTCCTAACTAACCAATGTGAATTTAAAACCCTTTCACTTCCGATCTACTAGAGATCGCTTCATAGTTCGTCTGCCTAATCTATTGCTGACATACTCATCCAAAACCGAGTTATTGCAGTGGGAATTTATACATGTGGCCTCTAAAAGAGTGATGAGCCCCTTCCAAGAAGAAAAATTGACCTTTCAAAAGAGCCAACCTCCACTCAAACTTCTTGATTGTTGAGTCACAAAGAAACTTTCAAGGCTTTCCAAGACCCAAAAGTAAACCCAAATACAAACTCCGAATAAAAGCAGCTGCCACATCCCGGCTGCCTCTATTTTTCTTTTCCACTAAGCTAGCTGTCGTTTACTGGGATCCTAACCCTGTCATTACCACCAAAGAAAGGATATGTAGAATGAGTTCAGGAATGTGGCCTAAGGAGATAGCTGCACCTTCTTCTGTTACAAGGAGAAACCAGAAATCAAAATCAGAAAAACAAGAATCAGACTTGATGTTCTAGCTCACCAGAAGCCATTTGAGCTTGTGGACCTATTCCGCATTATTCATTAGGAAACCAGAAGTTGGGAAGGGGGATATCAGATTGAACTAAGCAAACGCCATATGCCTCAGAAACTCCAAGCATAACCAAATCCATCATAGAGAATCATTCATGGATTATTAGAATCATCCCTTAGATGCTCCATCCATGTTAATCATGAGACATAAAACATCAGAATGCCCCCTAAAACTATTAGCGAAGCACTGGTCCTACACCAGACTGATACAAACACCCCACCCGCCTGGACCTCATAACTTAGCCATCATGTATGTCCAAAGGCCTCGTACATGTTAGAAACCTAAAAAGATAAGAGGTAATCCGCATAATATGGTATCAAGCTGCAAAAGAGTCCTTTACCGGACCCATTAATTAGTAAAAGGAAGGAGACTAATTAGGTGAAAGCATCTATCCTTTCTCCTAGATGGTAATGTGAGCATTTAACCTTGTGAGGATTAAAGTTTGATCCCTACCAATGCAACTTTCTTTAGTGGCTAAAGGATGCTTGAAAATGGAAGCATCACCACTTTTAAGAAATGGTTATAATCACATCTTTAACAGGCATTAGCCTTTGAATGAGAGAGCCTGTACATTAACTCACTCTTCTTCAAATTATCTCATCCTTGGCCTGTATTCTCCTGCATTACTCCTCTTTCTTCAATGAAACGGTGAACGTATTTTTCACTAAGTCAAACTGAGTTAATAGTCCCTAGAAGCCACAAACCAATCATAATGGTAAGTATTACCAACGATTTTATTGTACATAAGAGGTAGGAGAAAACGACCATAGAAACATTGAACAGGAACTTAAACAGAACCTAAGGACATTCATGGCCTATATCACACTTTAAAGACTAAATCCAAAATCAATGTGAAACTTATTGATGCAAATCAACAATGAAGTGTTGGCGCCTCTTTCTTTAGGTATCCACAGACCATTATAAGATGTCTCTTTTATGGTTCCCGAATCTGAATACAAAAACATGTCATATGGACATGGACATGCAAATGACAGAAGAATTTTATAATATCTCATATTTATGGAGGCATGCCCGTTGGAAAATTTATAAACATTAAATGAATAAGTCTTAAAATCACCAAAATGCACTAATCTTGTAAATAATGCATGAAATATCCCTAGTTTTGTACAAAATATATAGTGCATTCAACATATGTATCCCAATATTGCTACAACAGATGCAAAACAGATATAAATTAAAAAGAAATTGTCATATGGGACAATCAAGTTCCCTTGCATGACAGGTCGAAATGGATATGCGATCCTTTAGATTGGTCCATGGCTTCAGGCCAAAGTCTGCTCTTTTGTGCTACCAATGATGAGCATTTGGTGGACCACAAAATCAGATTTATCTCAAATAACAGATTAGCATAGGTGACCTCCACCATTTCCACTTTTAGATGTTGATGCTGATGTTAAATAGGCAGCACCTGATATAGCACTTTGACAATTCTTCATATGCAGGAGTAAATTAACAGCCATGAGTGCTATAGTCCTATTGTCTTATTTTTACATAATTCAATCAGTTTATGATGCCGTTGAATCTTATTGAATCGTCGTTCTCTAGCACGAGTACATGGAATCTTCTGGTTTCTGGATATCAAATAATAAAAAATTAAATGGTAAAAGAGCTATATCTATATATAACTATACATTGATGATTATACAGATATCAATACACGCATAAGTAGAAATCAATAAATAGCATACCTAATTTTAGTACTAAATGAACTTGGATTGCTTGAGCAAGGCACAAATTCTACATGACATCATGAGAGAGATCAGGCAGATTACTTCACCCACAGAGAACTCACCTTGATGACACAAAATCTGCACAATAATGTTTGACTCCCCTCAAATTGCTCTCATGACGCTGATGTGTAAGTGTATCGTGTTTGTGCACCAATAATAAGCTCAACAAATTTAGCTGCATACAGTAAACGAAGAATTTAAAACAGATACTGTTTCAGAGAAGTATTACTTTAAATTTATTGTTTTGATAGTCAAATATTAGTTTTTTAAATTGAAAAAGAACGACAATTCACTTGAAAATCAAAGTTCGAACACCAATAACATCAAATTATTACATTCAAGATGAAAATGCATAAGAGCAAGGACTCTTAAGAGATAAAGGTTGAGCAGGATACAAATAATTTAAGGACCACAGACCTGTAAGAAATCCAACAAGCGGAATGGGGTTCAAGTATTTCTCAGTGTTCTCAATACGGCACCTAAAATGAAAAAAGGAAGCAAGAAAACCACATGAAGGTGTGCCAAAAAGAAAGGCAATAGCGATGAAGGGACGAAAGGGAATTTCATTATATAATTACCGTGAATACTTGCTGAAGAAGGGATCTCTCAAGAGATAAAGCGCCCACAACAGCTTTCTTCTTTTCAACTACATCAATCCCATAGTAAGAAGTCATTTCAGATAGGAATAGGATCATTTCAGACAGGAACAGAACCACTTAGATAAAATAAGTACATACAAGGAAGCCTGTATGACAAAAACGAATCCATATAATGAAAACCACATTAGAACTAGATCATCACTTTCCCAGAATAAATGAATAGCAGAGAGAAGTTGAAACTATAATAGCCTTGCATCCTAACTTGAGAAGGCAAAAGGAACCCTAAACATTCTCCGTCTTTCAGGAAATTAATAAATTATTTCCTATTTTATTTTTTATAAACAAATATTCAAGATAAAAAGTATTTATGCTTAATGGATAACTTGCTGTCTTAGCAATTACTATTTCTTCTTGGCAAAGTAAGAGTCTAACCTCATTAGTTTCCTCGCTAGATAGAATATGATGCTTCCCTCCATTTGTGACAAAAGAAAGAATGCCCATTGCAGCAAAGTCGACAGCTAAAGACAGCATCCAAGGTTTCCACGACCGCACTCCATGTTTTCTAATAAATAGGACATAAACAAGTGGCCTTGTAATGAAGAGCACCTCTCCAAGAAGAAATAGTACACCATGAAGTCCTTTCTCAGACCAGATGGAAGCCAATGTTGGCTTTGCTACTGCTGGAGCTGGAAGAACACTAGCAAAAATAACTGTGTAAAATTTGTGTAGTAAATCGAAGATGTGCAACATAACATTGTGTATGTATATTTAGTATTTCACACAAATTATTATAAAAGAAGTACCATCCTATACACCAAACATGGACATTGATGGCATAAGGTTAAAATTTTTAAAGCGATCGGTACCATTTAGTATACTTAGACAAAAGTCTAGAGTCCAAATTGAAACTGCATGCACTAAACCGAAAAACCAAAAAGCATGGACAAGTATTTAACAGAATCATTACCACAGCATTTATGAGAATAGAAACATTGACATGATTTCGTGGATGAATAAGGAGGCTGCACGAAGGAAGTAAGGTATCTAGACGGCATAGGCTCAAAGTGATCGATGCAGGCTCAGACAAACCTAGTAAGGCTGGAAGTAGCACCGTCAAAGAGGCTCGAAGTAAACAGACAAATGGGTGGAAACCTAGCCACTTTAGAGTTACTTTTTTATAAACTTAACCGCTATCATCAAATATGGAGAACTACAGAGATAATTGGAAAAATAAAGCACAACACAACAACGAAATATTAAATACATCTTTCCACTCAAGGTAGCTTGTCGAGAAAAAATTTTCAACTCAAGTTACAACCAGAACCACATATTTAAAGAAATAGAGCAACGAAAAAGAGTCTATTGTAGAAAGAGACTCTCTCACAAGACCATCTGGCCATCATAAGAATCCACATGAAAATTAGCTTCCCTCGCAGAGTGACGAAAAATTCTAGTCTAAAAGACATCCTTCTAAGGCATTCAAGAATCTCATCCATCAGATTTCTGAACCCCCAAGGCTGAGACACCGATGGGGTTCTCAAGCGCATTAACGTGGTTGATTAAATTGCTGTGAACCACGAGTGGGCCTATAGTACCTCAGGGCCCAGTGGGGGAGTCTTGTAAATTTTGAACCAAAGGTGTACATCAATCCAAGAAAATGAGTAGGTTAACACCTTTCAATCCTCTCAAGATACCTCCTACTCTGAAGGGCCAGAGATTGCCCACAGCTATAGTGGAAGTCAAGCTTAAGGCACCCTTCAAGCAGGGCAATCCAAAAAACTCTTGGCTTCATGGATGTCACTGGCTCCAATTCCTGAATCAAGTCCTTTACTCAAGTCCCCAGTAGTTCATTGAAGCTATAAGCCCAAGAAGTCATAGAACCCAAATCGCGCGTTGTTTCCATGATCATATATCATTTTTTCAGCCTTCAAAAATGACATTGTTCTGCTTCTTTAATATACTCCAGCAGATGGCCACAATTGGCCCATTAAGAGAGAAAGTGAGCTATGACGCAAGCTAACAGGATTATTGGATTCTACTATGGACCTCCCAAGGAAAACCCGTCAAAGTTTGGAGGAAGTGCAAAGCTTATAGTTGGAGGGTGGGAACCATGACCAATGGCTTTGATAAACTCATGGCAAGAGGTTCCCTTTATATCATCGGACTGCTCAAGAAGGAATGCCCTTTTCCTAATAGAGTGTTGAGCTGTTACTTAAAAGTAAAAATTGAGAGATATTGTGTTGTTTGTTCTTTCTAGAGAATCAAGATTCAATATGTAGTATTAGGGCCTCCACAACAAAGGCCCAATTTCTCAAGTAGGATTCCCTTTCTGGTTCTAAAGCACAGGGCAAAGGTCGCAGGGAAACTGCCAAACTAGCCTGCTATGATCAACCTTCTCCCCAACCCCCTTCGACTGTCCCCTCAGAGGCCTCTACCCCTAAAGACTCGTCCTTGAGGCATCCCTCCTCAAGATGCCCTCCCCCCCAACCCACCGCATCAGGTTAATACTCTCTTGGAATATTCAGGGCCTGGGACACCCGACTAAGCGGAATGCAGTGCGAGATACTTGTACCCACCATTGTCACACTATCCTCCGACTCTCCAAAACTAAAATGCCTTCCCCCTCTCTTCACCTGGTTAGATAGGGCCACAGGCCCTGCAATGGGATTGCCCTTCCCTCTGAGGGCGCGTTGGGTGATGGATCATCTGGGATCCGTCTCTCCATGCCCTCTCCTCATCTCATGTTACCTCCTACTCAGCGACAGTGGTTCTCTTGGTCCTCTCAAGAGTCTCGGACAGCCTCCTCTGGAAGTTCACGGCCGTCTATGGCCCGCACTCTGAAAACCTAAGAGATCAATTGTGGAATGAACTGGACCTTGTTGCAACAACTCCTCCCTCAAGGTGGTCCATCAGTGGCGATTTCAACATTACAAGATGGTCATACGAGTGCAACTCCCTTTCAAGGATATCCCCGGGGATGCTTCATTTCTATGATTTCATCTCAAGACACAATCTCATCGACGTCCCACTGAAAGGGGCTCATTTCACCTGGTCTAACCACTCTTACATCCCCCTCCCTCTCTAAAATAGATAGATTTCTGCTTTCTACTGATCGGATGCTTCCTTCCCAGGACCCCATGCCATGGCTCTGCCCAAACCGACCTCGGACCACTGCCCTATCCTTCACAACTCCCAGCTCGTGCCCAGAGGGGTCCAAAACCTTTTTAAGTTTGAAATAACTTGGCTCGAAGAACGAAATTTCTCTCACCTAGTCCCCCAGTGGTGGAATTCCTTCGCTTGTCAGGTCTCAGGTAGGGGTGGTTACTGCCTCCAACACAAAATTCGGATGCTCAAATGATCCTTTAAAGATTAGAGCAAGCACCTACCTGGCAATTGCCACTCTTGCAAAGATTTCCTCTCAGGGACTGGGATGTCCTCAAAGAACATCGTACTCTAACAAAAGCCGAGAGGCAGCAGAGAGTCCAACGCATAATTGAATACCAGTTGCTTCTGAAACAAGAAGAAACTTACTGGTGTCAACGGTCCCGAGTCAAGTGGTTAAAACTAGGGGATCGCAATACAGCTTTCTTCCATAAGATCGCAAACTGTAGGAGGCGAGACAATTCTATCACGCATATCAGAGTCGAGGAATCTATCTTCAAAGAGCCCCCTGAGGTCGAAAGGGAAATCCTCACTGTCTTTAAAGATCTCTTTGATGGGTGACCTATCTTTTCTCCTCTTCCCACCTGAGAAGGCTTCCTAGCTTGAAAGACCATTTACCGAGGACGAAATCCTTCAGGCCATACAACAGCTTAGTCAAGATTGAGCCACTAGACCCGATGGATTCCTTGTAGCATTCTTCAAATCCTTTTGGAACTCTCTTTGATCCGACTTCCTCACCTTCTTCGAGGAATTCTTTCAGCAAGGTACCCTACACACAACCCTCAATGCAACATTCGTAGACCTTGCACCCAAAGTCGAAGGGGCCGAGGAACTCAAAGACTGTCACCCCATCAGCCTCATTAATAGCACCTACAAACTTCTCTTGAAGGTCCTCGCCTCTCGTCTTAGAGAGGTATTGGGCTCTGCTATTTCCCCCCAACAAGGGTCTTTTGTAAAGGACCATCAAATCCTCGATGGAGCCTTCATAGCCCATGAACATTCTAAACACCTCTCGAGACCCCCTGGTCTGGTCGCTAAACTAGACCGAGAAAAGCCGTATGACCATGTCGATTGGGAGATCCTCGACGAAACCCTAGCTCGCATGGGTTTCGACAGCCGGTGGAGGAAATGGACCCATGATTGTATAAGCAATCCCCACTTGTCTGTCCCAATTAATGGATCCCCCAAGGGGTTTTTCCCTCTTCTAGGGTCTTCGGCAATGTGACCCTCTCTCTCCCTTCCTCTTTGCTATAGTAACTGAAGTCTTTAGCCACTCAATTCAAAGACTTTTCCACTCGGGACTCCTGCGTGGCTTCAAGATATCAACCCAAGGCCCCACAACCACTCATCTTCAATATACAAACGACATGTTGGTCTTCTGCGAAGCCCCCTCCCAGGAGGTCGACACTCATATTCCTCAACTGCTTTGAATGGGTAACTGGGTTCAAAGCATCAACATGAACCAAGTCAAAAATGATAGGGGTGGCCCTGGACACCCCTTCCACCCAGGCCCTTGCTGATTGTTGGGACCATCTTTTAGAAAGCCTTCCCTCCACTTACCTTGGCCTTCCACTTTACCAAGGCAAACCTAAACATAGCCTATGGGCCCACATCATCAACAAATTTGATCGCAAGTACGCAATTTGGAAGGGCCATTACCTCTCTACTGCTAGGCGAGTCACCCTCATTAAGGCTACTCTCTCTAATGTTCCCATTTACCAGATGTCACTATTCCTTATGCCAGCGTCCATTCACTCTCTGCTCAAGTAGCTAACGAGAAATTTCTTATGGGCCGGTGATGATCATAAGTGTTAAATCCACCTTATTTCATGGGATGAGATTTGCTTATCCCACTATTCAGGGGCATTCAGTACCTAGGGGCTAAAGAAGGCAAACATAGTCCTTTTGGGCAAGTGGTGGTGGCGTTATACCACCCAAGAAAACCATCTGTGGCAGCAAGTGATTCTCCACAAATATCTACTTTCCCACCAATGTTCCTAGCTGCCAAATTGCAAGCCAACGGCAGGTCTTCGGGTAATTGGAGATCGCTTCTTCGAATCCTAATCCTCGTCAAAACTCATATCCATTTTCATCCTAAAGCCAGCACAAAAATTAGGTTCTGGTTAAATCTTTGGATTCGCCAAACCCCTCTAAAAGACCTCTTCCCCTCCCTTTTCCTTTTCACTCTCAACCACCAAGCATCAATCCTAGACTGCTTCCCACCCCAGGGGTCTTCAAGAACATGGACTCCTACCTTCAGACGTTCACCCTCAAATTTTGAAATGCATGAATTTTTAGATCTTTCGTCCTTCCTTCGTTCCACATTCCTACCCCTTTCAAGGGAGGACAAGATCATCTGGTGTCCAGCGCCTGCTGAACAATACTCAGTCTCTTCCTTCTACAAAAAGCTCCTTGACCCCCCACCTTCCCTCATGCCCCAGCCCCCGTTACTGCTAAAGCTTGGTCTACCCTCACCCCTCCCAAGCTTAAGGTATTCATCGTTGAAAGGATTCTCACGGTTAATCAATTGCAAACAAGGGGTTTGCCTATTCCCAACTGGTGTGCACTATGTCAGGCTGCGGAAGAGACCAATGCTCATCTCTTCCTCCACTGCCCTATCGCACAAGATTTTTGGGGTGCCCTACTACGACTTTTCGAATGTCAATGGGTCACTCCCTGCTCGGTTCCCCTCCTCTTTTCTTCTCTCCAGCGTTTGCATGGGCAAAATCTGGTATCTTGCTTTGAAAGGCCTCCATGGCAGCCTTTACTCTGGACCCTTTGGGTCGAACGCGACAATACGATCTTCCGGGGTGAATTCTCATCTTTGACAGCCCTATTTGACAAAAGTAAGTTCATGGTGATCTTTTGGGCCTCCAACCACCCCTGGAAGCAAACTTTTATACTCTATTCTCTTTAATACAAAACCATGAACATTCTCAAAAGAATATGTAATATTATCTACTGAGGTGACTAACATGTCTGATTCTTTAGCTGGTTTGGGTGTAAAGAGGGAAGAATTATGTATATCGGATTTTGGGCCTCCATGGTGTGCAAATTTCTTCTACAATTAGTTCCATGAAACTAATAATTATGAAAAAGAAAAGGAAAAATTATCAAAATATCGAAATAAGAAGCAATTGAAGTAATACGTGTCAACATACCAGGACGCTTGGTGGTTGTATAAGAAAGATGATGAGGCCTATTCAACCAGGATTGAGAACATGTAATATTATCTACTGAGGTGACTAACATGTCTGATTCTTTAACTGGTTTAAGTGTAATGAGGGAAGAATTATGTATATGCGATTTTGGGCCTCCATGGTACATGAAACTAAGAATTATGAAAAAGAAAAGAAAAAATTATCAAAATATCGAAATAAGAAGAAATTGAAGTAGTATGTGTCAACATACCAGGAGGCTTGGTGGTTGTATCAGAAAGATGGTGAGGCCTATTCAACCAGGATTGGTTCGACGTCGTCATCGCATTCTCCCCAAATTTATTCAAAGCAAACAATGCTCTGTTTTCTACATTTCTAGGATTATAACTGTAAAAGCCTTGGGGATAGCCAGGCCCATGATACCCACCAGGCCTTGCAGTTTGAAGCACTGAATAATTCGGAACATTACCAGTTCTAGGGTGGCCTGAGCCATTATTTGCCTGAGAGCCCGAATTATGTGGATCCTCGACATTTGGTGACATCCCACCATGAAAAAGCATCTTATATCCACTTTGTTGCAGCAAAATTAACCGCAATAACACCCTGCATGGGAGATATTCATTTAAACAGAAACCCAAAATTGCAACTATACACTTAAATCAAGGCACACAAATTAACAGAAACTCCAGAGAATAGAGACATTTGTATCCCTGAATGGACCATAAATAAAACAGGGACTCAGCGGACGGAGTCAGGTGAGTTACTTTGCCTCAGTCTATTGCCAAGGCAAGTTCCAGTGCCCAACTTACCCTTTTTAAGAACTCCTAAAAAATCACAAATTTTATTAAAATATTATTATATGAATCAGAAACATATTCTTATATGACTTCTATGTTTTTAAGATAATTTGGGAACTTTTCTTATTACATGCTGTAAATTTTTATTTTGTTTCCTTTTTTAATTTACTGAAATACGTCACGGTACAAATCAATTTTTTCAATAATCCAATTTATACACTTTTTTATCTTTTATTGACTTTCAATGGTTTCTAATACTTACTTTAGTTTTTGCTGATTTTTAATTGTTCACAAAAAAGGAAAAAAAAATTGAAATATTGGGCATGTTTTGGATGTGTACAGGACTCATCCTAGTCCAAGTACTTGAACTCGGGCTGAGTAACTCAGTTCAGGCAAAGTTCCAAAACATTGAATAAAATAGAGATAGATTCTAGTAAATCAAGCAAGTAAAGCGCAATAAGGAACTGAACAAACATGAAGTCCCACCAAAAGCAAGTGGAGAGAGGGGGGAGAGTTATGTACAAAGAGAACTCTCTGTAACCCTTACTTGGAGGCCTCTGTAACAGCAATGAAATTCCACTTCTTGTCATCTCCATAATATTGTTGGGCAACAACTTCAACCAAGGTCTCCAAGTCCTTGACTGTAGATATGCATAAGGACCAAGGAAATGTAGGCTCTTGAGGGCCCATTCTCATTTGGGCACCAGAGGTTTCAATTATATGCTCGTTAATTGCAGTTATAACACCCACAATTGCAGTAACTAGAAAACCCAAGAATAAGCAATCACGACATAAACCAATCTCCAATAAATTATTAAAGAATCATTGAGCAAAAAACCAAATCAATAATGAATTGAATTAAAGAAAAAAAACCATTATATGAAACATTAAACCCATTAAAGAAAAATCAATCAAGACAAACCAATCTCAAATAAATCATCAAAGAAACATTAAGCAAAAAACCAAATCAATAATAAATTGAATTGAATTAAAGAAGAAAACCCATTATATGAAACATATATTTCTTGACACATACCAGCTTCCGGCGCAATTTCTGAAGCCGAGAAGCGCTCGGGGAGAAACCATGTCAAGCCCTGAAAGCGAATCAATCATAGAGAAAACAAATGAATATTAAACTTCCAATGGAAAATAGAATAACAAGCAGGACAACCCAAGTGGGTCTCTCTCTTGTCTGAGGAAAATCAGCAAATAATTGGATGGTATGTCGGTATAGGCAAAGCAACAACATGAAACAAACTTTTGATTTCACAGAGAGAGAGAGAAATTACATTAGCCAAGCTCTCCAAAGAATGCACATATTCTCTGTTCTTCCTAACCCACTGTTTGTATGCCTCCATGGCAGAAAAGGGCTGTGCTATTCCAAGACAAAGACAAGCTCTCTTTCTCTCTCTAACTATAAGCAGATGGCACAGAAACTCTCTCTAACTATAAATACAATCTCTGATGCATCTCTCCTGTTTTCCCTTAACCTCACACACGCGTGCATAACAAGAGAGAGCTAGAATCAAGACGCTGCGTCACCAGTGTGAAGAGGGAGAAACAAAGAAGTGCACCCTTTTCGATGAGGATGAGATAAACACACAGGAAAACAACGTGATCGAAGAGAACCAGAGGTATTAATGTGAAGAAGGTGTCACGTCATCCCTGATATGATAATTGGGGAAAATACATTGCCCCACTATAGCAACAAGATTCTCCCTCAAAGTCGTGTGAAGAGATTTATTGCTCCAGTGAGAGCATATTGTGAATTTGCTCCGTCGGGGTAAAACCCTTTTTTTAGGGTCGCACATACTATGCTCCTGCGGGATCATACTGTTAATACTTCCCTTGCTCAAGATATCTATGCAGCAGAATTTTCGTAGTAAAAATTTTAATGGAGAATCATTTTTAAAATAAAAAATTTTGAATTATAAGTTCTTTAGGTTTAGTCTTTCAAAAATTGGATGGTCCTAGCATAAGTTTTTTTCTAGTACTTAGAGAGTTTATTTCAAAAAAATTTATGGAGATATTCTATGGGTTGTAAAGATTAGTTCACCAGTTTTTGATATCTAAAAAAAAGAGTAATGATCCAGACCCTCCCACACCCATGTATGTAAAACCTCAAAGTATCACCATTAAATTTGGTACACGCTCTAAAAAAGTCAAATCTCATACCCATGTCATAACTTTTCTAGATATATGTGCCAGTGATCTTTTGGAGTCCTACACATATATGTATGGAGGGTCTCATAGGATCATTACTCTCCAAAATGTTATCCATATTATTTTGGTAGACAGAGGAAATGGTTAGTATCCTCCCATCGGCAAAGGAAATCCTTTGGCTTTTCTTCAACCCAAATTTTGGCTTTAGAACCTAATAAAAATAAATAGAGCTCTCTATGGTCATCGGAGAATTTAACATTAAGAACCGTTCAATTTTTTAAAGCCAAGATCTAGGTATTCAAGAACTTAGAATCCAAAATAGAGCCCTCTATGTTCCTCGGAGAATTTAACATTAAGAACCGTTCAGTTTTTTAAAGCCAAGATCAAGGTATCCAAGAGCTTAGAATCCAAAATTTTCCTTGGATATAAACATCTTGTAATAATTAGATGGATTCTGCTCAAGTTATTCTTTTGCCTAAGGGAGTTGTTGTATAGCATGCTCCCATAGAAGTATTCTATACTTGCCCCAAAAAAAGTTTCTATAAGGTTGCAACCGATAGAATTACATGTGCTCGTCAAAAATCCACCATAAAAGGTTATTTAAATGTTGGAAAAGTCTCTAATTAATCATCTCGACATCAAGATATATAAATATGAAAAGAAAAAAAGTTTTTGAATCCATGAAATAGTGTATCTTGCAATGCATTAATTAGATCGTTCATTTTCAAGATTTTCATGTGTTTATAGATTTATTTAACTGGAACTATTTTTAGAGTTTAAAATTTTATAATTAAAGATGAAAATAAATTTTTAAGCCTTCGTAATAATTTTTTATATAAAAATTATATTTATAATAAAATTTACAGGTGGGCCTGGATTGTTTATGGTTGCAACCTTATAAAAATCACACCTTTATTACTTCACTTTTTATTATCGGCCTCTTCCGACATACCCTCAGTCTTACTCTTTCCACATGAGCTTCTCTATTAAACTCATAATTTCTTGATATTTACTTTACAAATGGTTAAATAAGAATTAAAAAGTTATGTGACCTTTTATAGGCTTTCCCGACAAACTTTAAAGGGCTTGTTTGAATGTATTGGTTTCACACTAATTAACTATTCAATAAAATCAATATTGATACTAAATTATTTATTCTATGGCAGTGCTCCTTGTAAAATTAGTTGAGATAGCAACTTATATAAGTTTATTTTTTTGAAAGCTATTTGTATTTTAGTTAAGATAATTTGTTGAAAATCACTTGTTTTTAGCCAGAAACAACTACAAATGGAAGAAACTTATTCAAAATTTAAATAATTAAATAATATTATGCAAACTATATCAATTTTAACTGAAAAAAAACTCTACAATTTTGTGAAAAATAACTAGGTATGTACCAAACAACTGAAAAAAATAATATTATGTAAAATATATCAATTTTAAATAAGATAAACTACTCTCTATAAAGCGTGTAGTTTGTATAAGGTGTCAACCTTAAAAAATCCAAATAGGGGGCACCTCCAAAGCTCATTAAAAGATGTAATTTTGTTAACATAAATTTCAATAATGCCCTTAAAAATTACTTTACATCCAATTATGAAATTTTAAACTCAAAAGATGGTATTGATCGAGAAACTCTACAAAGTGATGAAAATCTTTAGTGGACAGTCTAGCTAATGTATAAGATGTACTATTTTTGGGATTTCACAATCTTTTTCTTTCTTTCATTTTTTACATGTGAACATCTTGAGGTGAGATGATCAATTAGAATTAGAAGGTTTTTCAGCATAAGAACAATTTTTTTGGATGGATTTTTGAACCGTACCCTTTTCTATAGTATAACGTTGCAACCTTATATAAACTTTTTCCTTTGATAAATTAAATGTTGTGCAAACGGGAGGCTTCTCACCTTCATGTCCCTTGTCGAATCTGTACAATCACCACTGCGCCAATGCTCAAGGGTCTCATATTTACTCATAATCACTTTTGTCCATCAAAATTTAAATTGGGTTGTTGTAAGTGTGTTATTGACTAGCTTCAAAGTTAAAAATAAAATAAAAAATTCTGCAATTTTGTGATATACCCCAAGCCATCCAATTTAAAATCTAATGGCTAGAAGTGAATGTGACTTTGTAGCAATGATAAATGATTTCATAGTATACTATCCCTTTTGCCTCACTATGATGTAAAACTTCTGGAGTTGTTTAACAATCCTTAGTTTGGCAACTAGAAATGCTAAAATGAAACATATATCAAAAATGAGAAATATGTTTTTCTTCACCACACCCTCCCACCCTCGAATGGAAGAGTAAAATTCCAAGAAAATGGAAATAGTGGATTTCCCATTTTTGGATTATTTGGTTGTTTTGAAATGTGGCACATATTTTTATATGTTTTTGTTTTTCTAAAATCAAATCAATATTAAATTTGGGAGGCATATATATCTCATTGGGGCGCATTTGTAACAAACATAAAAAAAAAACAATTCAAATACAATAAAATATAAAATATACCCCTCAAAGTATGAGGAGTATTTTGGTTTTAATTTTCCACATTTTTGTATAGTTTTTATAGGTTCATGAGGTTTGAAATACCCCAACATTCACCACTTACTAGAGTAAAATTGAACTTGTGATGATATATTAGGATAAGAACACAAATGTCGTGTGGTAATAGTATAAAAAATTTTAGAGAGAGAGGAATTCTTTTAAGAAAAATAATTCTGCCCCATACTATTTTGTGGTGGTTCTTTCATTGTATATTTATAATTATTTAATACACACTTTCCTATCTTGTTACATTCTCATCTCAAAAGGAAATGGCAATATTTTTATTGTGGTCTTTCCAAAAATTGGAATTGGATATTGTTTCTATTATTACTCCTCAAACTCGACGAAGAAGGCATTTGAAGCTCGAGTTTGAAGCAAATATCTCGAAAAACATCTCATGGCAAAGGCTTGGTGAACATATCGGCTACTTGATTGTGAGAGGAAACAAAACAAGTGATAATTAATCCAAGAACAATATTTTCGCACACAAAATGATAATCTAACTCAATGTGCTTTGTCCATGAAGAAAAAACAAGATTAACTATCATATAAAGAGCACTAATATTATCACCAAAAAGTGTTGGTAGCTGAGGAAGAGGCAACCAAATATCTCAAAGAATAACAGAAAGTCATGTCAATTCTGCAGCAATGGATATCATAGATCGATATTCCGCTTCAGCACTAGAACGAACCACAGTCAACTGTTTCTTAGCACTCCAAGATATGCAGTTAGAACCAAGATAGGTGCAGAAATCAGTAGTTGAACGATGAGTGGTTGGACCTCCAGCCCAATCTGCATCAGAGAAGGCATATAACTCACGGGAACAGACATATAATATTCTTAAACCACAAGATTGTGTACCATTGAGATAACGAAAAATCCGCTTAACTACCTAAAAATGTACAATCGTAGAGGCATGCATAAATTGACACATTGTATTAACACTATACGAAAGGTCTGGCCGTGTTATGGTTATGTGTTGCAGTACACCAACAATGCTCCGATAAAGAGAAAGATCAGGAAATGAATCAGAATTCTTGGGAACATTATTCTTTATTGCCATTGGTGTTGAAATAGGTTTGGCACCAAGTATCTGAGCATGATCAAGAAGATCCCGAGCATATTTACTTTATGAGAGAAAATTCCCACCTGAAAAATAAGATACCTCTAGGCCAAGAAAGTAGTTAACAGATTCAAGATCTTTCATTGTAATTCCCTTCCAAGTTGGGAAATAAACAATTCTAAAATAGCTGAATTATCACCAGTAACAATAATATCATTAACATAAAGAAAAAGGATAATAGTACCTTGAGTAGTGCAATAAACAAATAAAGATGAATCAGCTATGCTACAATAAAACCCCAATGATAATAAATAGGTACTAAATTGATTAAACCATGCCCGATGTACTTGCTTGAGACCATATAAAGCTTTTTTTAATCGGCAAACATCATTTGGATATTTTTAGCTCACATATCCAAGAGGTTGTTCCATAAATATAGGTTCTTTAATAAAGCCATGCAAGAAAGAATTTTTCACATCAAGTTGTTTGATAGGTCAGTGGTGCACAATACTTATGGTGAGCACAATTTGAATACTAGCATGCTTAATAACATAACTGAATGTTTTAGAGAAATCAATTTCAGCAACCTGATTGTATCCTTTAGCAACTAGTATGGCCTTAAGTCTCTCTAGGCTCTCATCAAACTTTAATTTAGTCTTATAGACCCAACAACTTTCATACTTGGAAGATGCGGAACTCGCTTCCAAGTTGAATTAACATGTAGGGCTTCAATTTCTTTTTCCATCGCATGATACCAGCCTGGATGACCCAAGGCAGACTTAATAGTTTTAGGCTCTAAAGGGACAGCTTCAAAAATAGGAGCACTTGAAATTGTTGCCATGGAGTGGAGAATCTGAGGTCTTCGAGTACCATCTTGAGTACTTGTGACCATGTGATGATAATGATGCTCATAGGCTGGTAAAAAATTCGATTTGTTGGTT